TTAATTGTCATCACGCAATAATATCAATCGATTAACTAATTAATTCGCCTATAAAAAAAAAGTTGTATTAATCATTATTTTGAATTCAAAACAATTTTAGATACTTAACATTCATCATTAGTAGAATATTTGAATATATGTCACGCCGACATTTTTTTTTAAAATACATTTATAAAATGGCTCTTGGATTTGGTAAATGATTTTTAATTAAAAAAATAAAAGTATATATGAAATAGAGAAATCATTACGCAATACTTTAGAAAATATTACAAGTAAAAAATATTGAACGGAACAAAAGCTATTTCAGGTATCACATCTTATCGTGTTACACCATACATATTGTTAGTGGTATGTATCCTGTAATAGATTTTATGTTGGTTGTCGTGGTAAATTGATATGCCCGTCATACATTTGAACGCCATGATGGTTATTTATGTTGACATTTATATCTCATAAATATTTGTTTGTGTAAATATCGGGTGTTTATCCGGGACTTGGGTAAATTGGATAAACTTATTTTTAGCGAAATGCACATACGCAGAAACAGATTGTATATTGTGATAACGTTTTGTTTACTTATAGTCATAATATTACATTGAATAGACCTAAAGGAGTAGCCAGGATTTATCAATGGGGGATGTAGGTGGGTATAGTGGGTTCTGGGTTCTACAACCTGCTTAACTTCAGCTATAGCTAAAAAGAACAAAGTAACGTTGGGTGGTTTTAACAGACAAAACCCCCTGTGGTCGTGCCACTGAACGGAGCTAAGAACTTGGTAAACGAACTTAATATCAATCACTTTTTAATTACGTATTAAATAGTCTCATTTAGTCTTTTTAAACAATAGTCAATCGGCTTTTATTTTCCCATCTAAATATTACAGACTTACCAATTTAATGAAAATGAAAGTAAACTAATAGGTTGATGGATCGTGTATAGGTCGGGTGTCATCGCGTTTTTAATATGGCAGTGTTTGAAATTAAAATCGCTTAAAACGCGACTAAGTACGAATGCATTTCAAAATCGACTAGAAAACCGTATAAAAATATTGCAATGAAAAGTACAGTTCTCACTATGTTATTATCAATGTAGAAATAAATAAATAATATTTATATTTATCTTTTCTAGTTAATGCTGTTAAGTTTAACAGTTATGCATTGTAATATTGTGTTGAACATTTACACTCGTAAATCGTGTTTGTTTTAAATAATTTTTGTCATTTTACAAACTTTGTATACAATAAACGTCTAGCTAGTTTATCGATTCAAAAATCAATTGGAAGACAATATATTTTTGTTTGCACATGTCGGTGGTCGGGTGGGTGTTAAAGTTTTAAAAAATAATCATATTGTCACAAGCGTGTTTCAAAAGACAACATATCGGCACCTCTGCCGATTTAATAGATATAATAACATACTCACTTGATAAACGAACAGACAGAAAACAAAATATTTACACAAATTTCGGCCGGGTGAGTACCCGAAACATTAATCTACCCTTTGGGTATTTATCCAAGACACGTTATCGCCGGCCACGGTGAATCAACAAAGCGTTACGGGAGCGCTCATACGGATCGCGGCTTTTATAATACATAAGATATATTATTATTATAGCGACGTCTCGGTTACCATATTTATACTTATATGGCGTACACGCGTCCGTGCACGTCAAAAACGCAAAAGTGTCCGAAACTCATTTAGACGAAAACTTTTAGGTGTGTAGAAACGACGACGACGACGACTGTGTGTTTACCGGCGTTACCAACTATATATTTATGTGTGCGAGGACACTAAAACGACCGTTTACACACGCGGAAAGGATTTTAATAATACTCGAAAAATGGGTTGCGAATACAAATTCGTATAACGGATCGATACCGTATACATTTTCATTTGTATGGCTTCAGTACCTATACATACATGTATATACGCGTATATAATGCATTCGTCGCGGGGTGGATCGGTATAATGAAAATTGAACGCGAACCGCGGTTTCGAATACTGCGACAACAAAATCGTCGGCCGAACCGCAATAATAGATTACCCAGTATATTATATACAAGGTACTATATTGATGCGTTTCTAGGGTACCGAGATTGGTTTTTTTCGACGTCTAACATCTATAACCGAACGTGTAACAATAATATACGCCCCGAGGCGTGCAGGCCGCAGGGCGATTTTATTTTTTTTTTTTTTTTTTTATTCGAAACAAACGGATCGACAAAATACACACAATACACGTACCTAATATTGTGCCTGTATTATTATATATTCTGCCGACGACGACGTTGTAACGGAATATTCGTTCGGCGATGGTGTCGTTTCGATATATCTTTTTATATATTGTTTTTTTGACCGCGAACGCACCAAATCTGCCGACTGATGGAGAAATGAGCATATCGGGGGGGGGCAAAATGTTGAACGCTTCGCTCGAACATTTCCATTTAGATACTTCGGATTATCTTATTTGCAATGTAACAAATACGTTTTTCGTGAAATTTGAATTTTGCATTTTATTTGCGAAAAATTTTATTGGTTGGAAATTTTAATCGACTACAAATATTATCTGTGCGAGAGCACACAAACAAAATAAGGCACATAATATATGAAATATTTTTCCTATATTTTGACGTCTTGGCCCGCTCTAGACACAAAAGATATTATTGAGACTAACCAAATTGTCGAATTAAGACAAAGCTAAAATTTTGTCTGGGTAAATGTTTAATTTGAACCCCTCCTCCCCGAATAACAAAACTAAATTTTAAATTTCTAAATTATCGTTATATCACTATGATTATTTTAGTTTAAGCGGTTTCTCGCGAGCCACTTTAAAAACAAATAATTATAACAGTACAGGCATCAATATAAAATTGATGAAAATGTCGAAATGTGTATTGAATTTTATCAAACTGTACCTGGAGTCAAAATCGGAATATAAGCCCCCCCCCTTTATTAGCATAGCATGACCGGGGGGGGGTAGGAGGCCATGCCACAAGACTTCAAAGACCTCAGTTGTTGTAACAGTATGTTCTTTTGGCATTAAATTTATTTATTTAAACGCAATACTCGTGCTATTTGATTTGAGATCTATGGTGTCTATATTAGTTATTGTTAAACATATTGATGAGAATTATAATTTGTAATAGTTTTGTTGTAATTCTTTTTGAGGGCCTCGTTGAAAAGTTTGGACTTGGAGCTTCAATATTTCTTGATCTTTCTTGCAGTGTAGTTTATGCGTCGTTCGTAGGGTGTTCAGTTTTATTATGATCGTAGATAATATAGCGGTTAATATTATTAATATAACGTGGCAATGAAATGTCAATAGTATTATCATTCAAACAATTTAAACCGTTTTGTTTTCGCGTTCATTTTATGTCTTTTCCACGTCGTATAATATTATTCTACGTATATTGAAAAAAGACAATAATCTCACATATTGAATTACTTAAATGAAATTTTTCGATGGCATTATTGAAAATCTTCGCCGGATTATATTTTAATAAAACTGCGCTGGAAAACGTTAAATACAACAACTTACACGAGAGCGAACACGGAAAAATGTCGAGGATGTCCGAAAATATCCGTCGCTTTTGACCTTTGTAAATCGATTTATTACTTAAAATTTAAAAACAAATTAAAGGATAACTTATGTTGTGGAGGGGGTTTGAACCCCCCTACTTCCTGCGTTCGAAACTAAATATTTATACACCGAAAGATATAAATTATATTTATTCGGGCGGACATTTAGCTTTTGTAATAAACCTATCTTTGAATTCTGCAACGGCAGTGTCCGATTCTTTTGAAAACCATTCGATTGAAAAATAATTTCAAATCGTTCTAAAATGAAAGTTTTCACCATCATCAAGCAAAGTGACATTTTGTCATTCCACGCGTGTATATAGTGTCGGATGTATATGGAGTTTTATTTTTATTTATTTATTTTTTTTTTTTTTAACACTTTTCGAGTATACACGACAGTGTAATTTCATCCGTTCCGTAGCCTTTTTCTTATAAATAATTTAATACCTACGGGTTTTTTATTTTTTTATTTTGCGCATCAATCAATCAACGTTCCGCGAGACATCCGCCACCCCCGCGAGCCTCATCAAACGACTGCAGTTGGTCAATCGACGTGTATAAAATCAGAACGAAAAAAAAAAAAATCTCGCGCGTACAATATGTTTATATTATTAAAAAATAATTGTTTGTGCTACGTATTTTGAAAAGACTTGTGTACGGTTATAATAACTATTTATAGTGAACCAATTAACGAAATTCAACGGAAGGGAATTATTAAAAACATGTTCCCAATCCGAATACCGAAAATGTTTTTCCGCCATATATTATATTATGATTAATTTTTGATAAATGTTAATCAATAACACATTTTACGTAAATAATATATTACATAACGATAATCACGTAATAAAATAGGCGCCTAACCAACAAGAGAAATAAAATAATTAATTTTGTCGACCTTTGAATCGTTTATTATTTCAGAACCTCTCTAAACGTAGAAAAAAAAAAAACGGTCACTTTAATTTCAATAAAAATCTTATTGTAAATACTTGTTTTAGATTCTGAGCGTAGCCGATAAATGCGTTGTTTTTACAATAATGTTTACTTTTTTATTTTCTTATATTGTATACGTACAACATTTTTATCAGAAATCTTGGGCAGCGACAGGCCATGGTAAGGTTATTTACTACATAAATCCTATATGTGTAAATTACAAAATATTTGTCCCCCTTCCTCAGTATGTTACTGAGCTCTAACGACATTGATATCCATGGGAGTGAGTAGTCGAGTACTTTTACTCATTTTTGGAAGTTTAAGGAAAACGAGTTGGACGAGAGTCTTTATTGATATCCAAAAAAATAGAAAAAGTAGACTGGGATGAAGTTTCTGAAATAAACGATTCAATTAAACTGTATTATTCAATTGCTAACTTAGTATACTCGTGTACACTTAAGTTCAATGTTTAAGTGAGTGTGATCCTTATCCCCCCTTATCTATCTGTACCTGCGCTCTAATCGTCCGAGAACGGAGACTATATCAAACAGGATAGAACTATCTGTATATGTTTCTGTAAATGGAGTAATTTTTTTATCAAAAAACCATTGTCAGCATAATCTACAGATATATTTCGAGGGTAATCAAATCACACTGAATAAAGTTAATATAAGTGTAGTTTTATACCTTTAACAGTATAAAATAACGTGCCAATAGTTGTTTGTTTAAATAATAACCAAAAACCATAAAATTATAGATTTATCGCCTGCGAAAGGTTACCTATAATACCGTAACATAATTATCAGGTGTGTGTGTTAACTTATGTTTTGAATTTAAAGGGAAAATAAATTTCACTATACACTTCGTAGAAACTGTTTCGTATTTTATAATATAGCGTGACGAAAATGAGATAAAAATACTATTGCCAAAAAACCGTCGACTTTATGCCGTCGACAGACATTTATCCTTATGTTTTGCAGTAACAGTAGGTAAGTATTTCATAATATTATATTTTTATAATGGATCTAAAAACCACAACAATCATGGTTGACTTTTTGACAATGTAAAACGAGATTTTTCACATTTAATCCATTTTCCCATTATGTGCGTACTATACATTTTATCCTCTTGCCAACGACTGCGAAAACATCTTAAATTTACTGACGGTTTCGAAATTAAAACGAAAATTGCTTGCCTAATGGTATATGCGCAGACATCCTATTCAATTATACTCAAAGCCAGTGAAGTTATTATACGGAAACGAAATTTTAAAGTTACGCTTATTTATTATTTCTTTTCGGGAAAAAAGAAATTAATAATAATAATAAAAAGTAGATAATATTATATTAAATTAAACAAATAGTATTTGTCGGAGACTTACAATTGAAAGGCGAAACTTAAAATATACCTTAGGTAATCGAAGACACGATTAAGTAGACGAAATTGTATACTCATGTAGGGAACGATATTTCATCCGACGGTAAGAGCATTCGAGAAATCGAAATATATGTAAGATTTGCTAAAGCGCGTTTTGGTAAAAATAAATAAAGTTTAAACACCAAAGCAGATACGGCTCGATTAAAGAAGCGGATAATATATTTGGAGCGTACTCCGATAAACGTGAAACGTTGGTCATCGTTAATGATACGGAAAAAGCAAAAAGTAAACGCTTTCGAGATGTGATACTGGAGAAGTTTGATGGAAAAACAAATTAATTATTAAACTTATAACTAGGAATTTTCAAAGAAAATCGTATATACGTGGACGCGATTAAAATAAGACCGTTCGAAAACGATTGAACACACTGACTGAGACACCGCGCAGAAGAGCTGCACAATCCTATAATTTTAGAGGATACCGTTAAAGGGAAGATAACTGCAGGGCGTCACTTTGTTAAAATAGGACAAATTGAAAACGATTCGTGAAAGTACAAGCATTTTAAGGACTGAAACGGAAAAGGCGAGCGATCGATTAGAACGGACAATACTAATTGTTATCCAATTTGTACAGACCGGGAGTTCAACGGGGCAGAAAAAGATAAAATAAGTTTTCGAGTAAAACACTTTGACCGTATGACCTTTGATTTTAATTTCATTTTACGGAGGTACATACTTAAGAAAAAAAAATTCAAATTTTTAATCATTTTGGAGCGCATAATATATGCGTGGTACAAATTACGTTTTTCTGTTGAACAATAACATATATTTGACACTAGATTCGTATAGTCGAATTTGATCGATACAATATTTTTTATCTCGGAAATTACCCGACTTATTGCCCTAAAGTTGATCAAATTGGTCGAGTTTTCCACTTCATAAGTGAAGATTTTCGGTGACTGTTTTATCGAAAAAAAAATATTTGTTAAGACTGTAAAAACAACAAATACATAATAACGTGTGTTTTAAAATATTTTCAATCAATTTTCAATATTGCCACACGACAAAACCGTACTTTTTACTACAACTATTGGAAATCCGAAACGCGTAAAAATACATTTTTGATTTGATTGAAATCTAAAACCACCAAACGGCAAACATATTTATTGTAAATTGTTGAACCATACCAAATGTACGCGACGATAACCGTACTGGGTGTATACACATTTTTATAATAATATATTCAACAATTGATCGACGCAATCGGTGTGTATACGTTTTTCCATCTCGTTTTTTTTTTTTTTTTTTTTTATTATTTTTTTTTATTTACCCTTGATTTGCGGCGCAATCGATATATTTATTATGAGTATTATGACCATATTTCAGTGTTACGTCGGAAACGCGAACACCTGTACGGCCGGTACCTAATATCAAAGTTACGCGACAATATTTTAAATGTTTACCTACTGAAAATCGAAATCGTTTTGTTGGTTTATTTAAAAAACACACGGTATATGTATGCGTGAATGTATTGTATTATACTTCTATAACTCGCGAACGATATACGCAGGTGTGCGTGTTAATAGTTATTCGATTTACTTTTGATTGCCGTTCGACATTCGTACGGGAATATTATAGTATTTATTTGTTGAAATATTATTGTATGTTTGTACGACGACGGCCGGCGTACCCACGCATAATAAATAGTAATATTACGTACAACGATCGCCGGTCGAAACACGATTTACGAGAGAATAACACGAAAAGACTTCACGATATTACACGAACAAAAATGTTCATACATAATATTATATTCAGTGGTGTAGTCCTAAAAAAAAAAAACTCTTGAATATACGCGCCAACTTATTGTCGGTAAAGTGAGTGAGCGTGGACAATTATATTCTCCCCCCCCCCCAATTTTGATATTAAGTTCAAAGATAATCTGATATAACAATTCAATCTTAAAAATGATAATAAAAAAATCAAAACAATTTCACGCATGTATCACAAAATTTCCCAATGGCCGTTTGTTTCTGCTGCGTTTTTACTTTATTCACAACATTTCCTAATTAGAAAATAATGCAGCGTGTAATGACCAACGACGAATAGGTACCTATTTAACCGACCTACGTTCGGTAAAATAAAATTCTAATAACAAACATATAACATCCGTTTCTCTAAAAATAAACGTCATATTCCTGGTTGCCTAATTATTTTGGAGTTTTTTTTTTTCTTTTCAAATTATCGCAATACATATGTGAACGGCGTTATCATCAACGATTTTTTTTTTTTCCGTGCACCGAAATTCATTAAAACAGACGTGTAAAATGGTAAACACGATTACCGGTACTGCTAAACGCGACAACGAGGGAATTCGTGGGATATATTTTTACTTCGTCAACCGGTCAAAAGTACACGACGCAACGTTTAACTGGGATAGGTGTACCTGCGTATCGCAAATTATATTATTATATTATAAGGATACGCATCAGCCTAAAAACGGGAAAGACGTTTTACGCTTCAGCTAGACGGTCGACTACGCCACAGGACATACTATAATATTGTGTGTACCTACTTTATTATATGGCTGTGTTGTTCAGCAAATTGCAAACACTAAACATTATAAACACTATGTCTGTCATATTATTTATTGTGTGTTTAAATTGCGAAAACATTCTTAAAAACGCAGAACGTTCGGTAATTTTTGTTATTTTTCTTCAAAATGTATTTTATAGTTAAAGGTAGATCCCGTTATAGATAAAGGGAAAATGGCCAAGCGCTTGTCGTTGTATATGCTATAGCTTTACAATTGCACACACATATTTTGACCGTGTTCAGTCAGAAACTCATAACTCGTAAGTATAAGTTATAACCATTAACTAGTGTTTGAGAACTTAAAGCACTTAAAATCCGCAAAAAAACATTTAAAACCGTCAAAAAAACTTCCGAAAAAAACAGTTAAAAAAAAATCTCAAAATGGTAAAAGAGTTTAAAAATATCTCCTCTAACAGCTCTAATTTATCAAATACTATTTTCTAACACTACAAAAATGATATACGAAAATCATTTTAGTTTTTAAATACCTACGTACAATTTTATTTAATCAAAATCGTTTTGTATTGAGTTGTATTGTTACTTTTGTAGTGTTGGAAAATGTTATAAAACAAGTTACAGCCATCAGCCGATGGATAAAGAACTTTTAAAACATTCTGTCGGTTTTGATTTTTTAATTTTTTTTTTTTTGGTTGTTTCAGGGCTTTTTTAAATTTTGTAAGACATTTTTTGTGGATTCCAAGTCCAATTAGTTTCGAGCTCCTGTCATAACTCATTGAGTTATAAATCTGGACCACATAATTTCTATATAATATAATATTTGTCCGTATGTTTGTATTAGATAAGCTCAAAAACTACTCAGACTTTCAAACTTCTTTCACCTAAAAGCTACTAAAACCTACATTATCAGTGAGTAACATGGGCTGTATTTTGCTTTCAAAAAAATTTGAGATCCCAACAAACATTGCAATAATTGGGTTTTTAGGGATTTTCGTATTTTTGTCTGTCATACCTGACGGGACTTGACGATCATTGAAACGTTTAAAATGATTAATATTAAATCTGATCGTAGATAATCGTCGTGGTCAAACATTTTCGCACTCGAATTTTAATAAAACCGAACATTTTTAATCAACGATTTAGTTAACATTGAAAAAAATCATCATTACAACGTAGGCAAACTGCGCGCTTACATTAACAGATAGACTAAAATATAAACAATATTAAATGATTAAATATCGACTGACAATAATATGGTTGTACGTGAATAGCACTCATATCTGATAAAGGTTGACCGAAATGACTAACGTGACTTTACAACAATCACTTGATGTGATTTTATAAGTTAGGTTACTGGATGAGTTATGGCACAAAATTGCATAGCAGCCGTTATTGTTATATAAAAAAAAAATTATAATTATCTGGGAGGGTATACAATTTGTTTTGGTTAAGAGGGTCTCATATTTGAATGTGTTGTCTCCGTGATATTGACACAAGCCATAGTATAATTTCGTTTCTTATTTGAACATATATTGTGGCGTTTAGATTGAAACGGGAGTTTAATCACAATTTACAAAATTTAAAGAATTAAAGATATTTAAAAAATACAAAAACTAACATGGTCGTAACTTTTTTGTATGAAATTTGTTTTAGGTAAAACCTTCGTACAGCCCTCTAAAATATTGTCCTCTTTAGATTATTTCATTTGTGTTTCAAACTAAAATTTCCATCAAAACGCCACAATATACGTTCCAAGTAAACGTTATAGAAATATAGACAGACAAACAGACGGATCTTTCATATGTGTCTCGCAATTTGTGTTTTTTATTGACTTAAATATATTGTCCCAAACGGAATATGGAATAAAACGTTACACGTATTCGTATAAAAGCATTTTTAAAGCGAAAGAATAATAAAAACCAGTGCTCATTTCCTTTGTGAATTTAATTTAGCATAAGACATTTTTTTTTTCTTTTTATCTTTTGCGTGTGTATCTACCATTTATTGATCTTTTCATACAGTAACAGTATCATCATACTTTCAAATGTTATGATTAATATAATAATAATAAAAAATGAAATGAAAATAATCAAAATAATACACATTTTCTGGTACTTACTTACGTTTCAGTATCGTTTCATTTATACCGGGTACCTAGGTATACATACCTAAAATATTTAATTAAAATAAATTCAAACTCAAACCCGTCACTGATATTATTATCGTTTTATTTTCGCATGAACTCTAAAGAATTGCAATACACAAAACTAATAACGGATGACAGTCATTTTTGAGAAGTATAGTGTTAAAAAAAAAAAAAAAAAAACGCTTAGGTGTTCGAAACGATAAGAAAGATAATTGTAGGCGGATTTCGCAGAAAAATGTTTAAATGGAATACGGGGTCGTTGTCGTTTCGCACCCGGGTTTTCTTTTGTCGTACACATTTAACAGCCAGCTATTTTCACTAGGTTCGTTTACACCCGGTGATTGTCGCTAGCTTATCTGGATTTAAACTAAATATTTACGATATTTACGATGTCAATATGTCATCATAAACCTACCGGATTACCGTTGTATTAGATATCAAAACGTCAATCCTGTTCCGTTGATCCCAATACAGACGAACCTAATCTAATTTATTTATTTCATCCGACCGTATGATGATATGTGACACATTAATTTTGTCTCGATAAAACGGTATGTATATTTTTACTATTCATTTTTTTTTTCAAAAATCCAATGAGCATTACCGATTTGCAGTATACTTGTGAATATTATAATAATATACTGTACACGCGTACTCTCAGAAAAAAAAAATTACTTCTGCCTTCGGTATTGGTTCACATCATCCAGTACAGTGCACGTATTACAAATCGTAAATTATTATAAAGCAAAATAAAAACGAAATAAAATTGTGGAACGCAGTATGATATATTATGAAAACAAAATCAGTCAAATTGAAATTAAGTATAATAGAAATAGATAATATTATAGGTTACCTATTCTACGCATAATCGTGTTACGAATTAAATCATAATAAAAAAAATGAATTTTTAATATTACTATAATAATTGAATATTAAACAACAAATGTACATTTCCGTGTTGTGTTTTAGTTAAGTGGATTTATAGTTTGTTCGCAAATTACGAAATCGGAGTGAAAAATAACCGTTACATAAATACACACAGAATCAATACGAACACACGTTTGTATACGGTTTAAAAACGCTTAATCTCTCCCGAGCCGCACTCTCCATTTGCGTCCGTGCGCGTTGCGTATAGGCAAACGATATTATTTGGAGACACGTTGTAGAACAAACGCGTACGGGCCATCGCAGTTATATTTATTATGAATATCGCGCCAGTGTTGAATAATAATAAACATATCAACATAATATTGGAAACAACTACACTCCCATCGCGGCATTAGTGAACTAGTGGTGTTTCTGTAACGTACATTTGCACGCCTGGCGTGGTCATTATCGAAATATCTACTAGCTTGCGCGTGAATGCGAATGACGCAGATTTCGGCCGGAAAAATTCGGCGTGCACGCATCGCCATTGGGTAGACGCGCGTTAACGAGGCGCGAGGGCCCGCGGACGGTGAACAGTGGTACAACGGGTATTTGATTTTTACTGTTTTTCCCCACTCTCGTAAAAATAACGTCGGCGATAGAGATTTCCGAAAGAGACTGTGCGGGCGCATTAGCCGCGCTTTTCCAAAGTACAGCCGCTACCGCAAGTCTAATTGGTAATGACGGGTTCCGCCGCAGGGTTGTACATCTTCGGAAATAACGACTTTTAAGAGTCAATTTTTGGTATTTTTTTTTTTTTTTTAAAACATGTTATTTACTTTATTTTTCGGTCTAAATGGCCAAACGTGTGTGTGTACGTATGAAAAATGAAAATATCTCAAGTCACTATGACGCGCTTCTTGTTTGACGAAAAACGCTCAGGTCACGCGTGAGTCGTTGCGATTACAACTATTTAATTTTCACTTGTAGCAATATTCACAAATTGATTGTATGGAATACTCTACGCGGAATCGACTCGAACGCTGAAACCGAATATATATATATATATATATATAGATATACATATACGCATTCGAAAATCAAAAGCCCGACGGCACATTTGACGGATTTAGGGTGAACGACGGGGTGCGATATTATATTTATTATATATAAAGGGTCTGTTGCGCGATGGTTTATTTTATTGTTTTCGTATAGCGATTAACGCTGGAGAACTCGTCCAATTTCCATATTAAATTACGTTTATCGGGGTCGGGGTCGTCATACCATTGTTTAGTATGGGATAGAGAGCGCTAGGGACGGAGAACCGGAATTTTACACTGATGCTTATTTTTCTCCAACGCGTCGAAAATCGCCTGTCGGCTACACAGGCAATACTCGCGACGAACCTGCAATATTCGATTAAGAGGAACGGTGGCAGTTTTCTAGAAATTTTCCCCGATTTCGTGAAATTTTAAAAACCGTATTTTGCATTTTAATAAAGACCAATGACCAGCGTAAATGATAAGACTTTTTCATTAATATGATTTCCGATGCCCGTTTTATGACAATCCCGTTTTTAAGCAAAAACACGACGCTTCAGACCGAAAATCTAAACAAAACTGTAGGAATTGCGTTTGACAGATTTCAGTTTTAAAAACGTATTATGATTTTTTAGGTACTTCATATACTTAGATTACGTTGTTAAATATATTTATTGAATTTTAATTATATTTTTGTCTTAAGTAAAATATGGGAAATATTTTAAATGCAATCAAATGTGTATACGATTCCCCGTAGAACAATATAATAGTTTTCGTCACACCCGCAGTGAAAAACAAAAATAATCATAATTTGATTTCAAAATGAATGTCCGTCAAACACAATCCCTACAGTTTTGTCTGGCCTTTCGGTCTGAATCAGTCACTAATTCCCTTGTAGTATTGTTTTACGTGCCTGCGCAGACAAATCACGTGACACAATATAACTCGCCACGTAATATTTATGAAAATCGGACAGAAATCTGTAGGTGTTTTTTCTCTTGTATTTTCGGGACCAGACCTGTAGTATTTACTACAGTATCGTTCGGGGTCAGACCGTTCGGGGCTATTGTTTGTTTTCGCAGTGCGCGAAAGATGGCCCCGACGGATTTGCCCACGAGAAACTGCAACAGCTATACACGTACGTATACGTTTATATAGTGTGTATAATAATATATTATATTCTTTTCTCCTTTTTTTTTTTTTTTGCAAAAGTCCCCTCGGACGTTTTGTTCTCATCGATTTCGCGAAAGAAAACCCAACGGCCCTTTGCCTGCAGCGAACCCGATGCAGAGCCGATATAATAGGTATATAGGTTTCTGCGGGGGCTCACACACGCGCGCCGTAAACTGCCTGCACACAGGTGCGTATATATCCCATATAATAAAACGCGTGACGAAATACGGACGGGAGAAAAGATTAGCGATTGTATAAAAGTACGGCAAAAGTTCGCAACGACGTGAAATTTTCACGACCCCGTTAGGTATTTAACGTTAAAAGCGTTCGAATACTGCGAAATTTGTAATCGATAACATTCTCCCGTTCAAGAGCCTATTATATTATCGCGCAAGGATCAAAATTTCCGGAAAAAAAAGAAAGGTTGTTTTTGGAAAAAAACATTTTGGTTTCTTGAAAAATCGAAAAATAAAGAAATTATCCATCAAACAATAATAATTGTTATAATTTGTTATCAATATACTATCGCTTAGAGTTCGAATATTGCGGATTTTATACTTTCGGGTTATAATGAAATATGTATTATTGTATTACCTCGGTATACAGTATTAACTATGTATTAAAACTATCAAATACTTTTGCCAAATTATTTATTCTATATTTTATATTCTGTCCGATTAAATTAATTGAAATTGTTTTAGGTATGCACTTGAAACATTCTACAGCGCAGCTTTTTTTTTTCCGGGTACCGAATTTCATGTGAGCGTCATAATATTTTAAGACGTGTTAAAATAGCAGACCATTTTAAATTAGCATCCTCGTTTCATAGTTTACAATCGCTCCGCAGTCCCTAAAACAACGTGTTTTACACCCCGATGTTTATAAGGAACACATTTTAAAGCGTGCAGTTCAAAATTCTAGTGTGTTGTATACAAATGTGTTGTTATGAAAGAGCGCTAAAAGAACAATTCCCCGGAGTGCTGAAAACGTAAATACGTCTCGGACGTAATGGGTAATGTTACGGACATTTTAATAATAACTGAACGGTTGGAAATGATATCTTACAATACTTAATGAAAACGTGCGCAGAATTTTTCGGACACAAATGCCTACCTAAATAATTAAATTCGTAAACAATTTACATTTATTAGTGAAATACTAGTAGGTATCATGAATATTGATAAAACTTTAGTCTTTATATTTCGGCGAATATTTTGTTTCAGTTTAGCATATGGTTTTATACGACGCAAGGGTGTTCACAGAAATATGTGCGGTTAGAGGGAGTTAAAAAGTAAACCTATTATCAATATAAAAAAAAAAAAATCTAATTTTATTTAAATTTATCTACCGTACTTCCAGCCATGACCGGACGGTCTTTTGTGCAACAATGATACATTATAGTCGCAATGCCATCATAATTTTACAAACTTCTGTAATATATTTACCCACTGACGTTCGTGCAACCCTCTCCGACTAAGATAAACAACCGATTTGATCAGTTTCCGCTGACATGGAAATATTATACACAAATAAATATTAACTTTTAAAATAAACGTTCAAGTCCGCTGATACGAAACATTTTATTAAAACGGTATAAAACAATTGCCCATCTCTTAAATAAAAACAAAGACGCGAAATATCATAAATAAACAAATTATATAGTTGACATAAGATTGATATAGTTTCGTATAGTTCTAAAATAAAATAAAAATCAAATGCCTACAACATTCATACGACATGCTGTTAAATTAAAGTTTAATTTTAAAAGTAAAACGTCACTATTGCTAATGGAAAAAAATGAAATAAATTGAAATATTCCACGACATAATTTGTATATCTTTATTTGTTATGCGTAAAATAACCGTATACGATCGGAACGTAAATGTGTTTATTGTGATTGCTATTTTTTCTTTTTTTTTTTTATTATTGATACGGTTTTGCGATTTTATTACATCCGTAGTGCGAAGAGAATATTTAGAAAGCTTCCGGACTGTATTGGACTTTCATTTTGTGACGGGTAAATCGAGTTTCCTACACAATCCCCGTTTTATAATTTTCTAATTTTATAGCCTACAATATTTTAATGTTGAGTTTAAAAAATGTCCACCAATTGTAGATATGATTTTAAAATGAAAAGCTCAATATCACAACCAAATACCGTATAACATAAACTTTACTTATTATATTTATTTATAAAGAGTCCACAACTAGTACAAAACTAGTCCTCCGTATTAAATCAACTAAATCATTTATAACAATATGCGCAGTATATTGAAACTAACATTTCGCCTAAACGAAAAATGTATTCTTACTACTATAAATAGCGGAACGTAAAACAATAGACTGTATAAAAATCGTGGACCGTTAAATAGTAAACTACTGCAACAAAAGAAGAGTAGACATTATTTTAGTTGCCGTTACTACTGAAGAAATTTGTGTACGACGACATAATGGTGTAAACACTTTGGGAGTGGACCATATTCAGTTATAGGTTTCGCACGCCGCTACGAAAAAGGTCGTGTCGTCTCGATTCAGTTCGTATCTCTACTCGTTCAAACACATTAAATCAGAAGTTCGTAAAAGTGAATTACGATCTTTTTCGTCGGGACAGGCGATACGATAAGAAAATGGAAAAATTGAGATACGACTCTTTTCGTTACAGCAGTCGACTTGTTCGCGAACTATTTTTACTCGGCGAAAAAATGCTGGTTTTTTTTGGGGGGGGGGGAGAAAAAAACGCATCTAAATAAAACTATAAAAGCTTCTTCGCTTAGGCACACGGCGTCTAATCTTCTTCGTCTTGCAAATAATAACAAGTGTCGCGCGCGCGTCACTGTACAAATATTGTTTTTAAAACAGTTTATCGTGTGCCCGGTTTCGTACCGCGCATTACATTATTTTCAACGAGCATAATAATAATGATTGCAAAAACGTTTTATTTTTTAAGTATTTTTCAACACAATAGTTGATTTCGTGTGTTATTAAAATAACCCCTGCGGAAATAACAATGTAGGTAGCATTTAAGTATGGGCAGGCAAGTGCTGCGTTAAACGTTTTAAATAATTAAATTTTTTAAATCGAATATAAACTCCGCGGCATACGCGCCGCGCGCTTTTTATATTTGTATTCTAAGAGGTGTTAATACGAGCCGAGGCGCTCATTAAAATAATTTATTAGCTCTTATTATTATTCGCGCTGTGCTATTCGTGATCCTATCGCTTAACCCTTACCCTCTCCGTCACCACTCCGTACCCCGCCGGCCGCCGAATTTAACGAATATTGTTTAATACGATTTTATTATACAGGAAATAATCCGAAACCGTCGTAGTCATCGTCGTCGCCGTGTTCTCGTCCCCGCATTAATTTTATAAAAATAAATTATTAATACGGCGACAGCGCGATTCTTCCGTCTACGTTTAAGAGGGATCCTTTATTGTTATCATCATCATTATTATTATATTGAAACGGCGCGGCGGTGATAATATTGTTTGCACGTACGCACACCTACCGCTACGCGAAAATATGAAATCCCACGGATTTATAAACTTTTAACCGAACAAAATCTATATCAATATCTATATCTATATTTTTTTTTTTTCCACCGAGAATATCCCGTGCAATGTACACATAGTTTACTTTTGCCCGTCGTCGATAATATAATACGGCGTTAAGCTGCGGAACCGCCGTCGCAGCTCGTTTCCGTACATTTTGTGCAGTGACCACCTGGGAATTTCAGTAGCACGCCCACTAAAACTTATAAGTCTCTACGTCACATTCCCGAGACATAATATACCCGCTCGCGTATAGGCGGTGTAACCGACGAAATCTTTATAATATTACTGCCTATACGTATAACCGATGCGATCGGTGGCTGTTTCGTCTGAGACTCTCCGTGGCGCGCGCACGCGCGCATTTGAATTTGATCGCTAATGGTTTTTAGGGACCGTAATGAACGCCATTACATTATGTCTATAATCGAAACGAACAACGAGAAACGATTTATAATTACGTCAGCGATCTAACACTTCAACACGCACTACAATCGGAGCTCGGATTTGGCACTTTTTACTAGTTACTACGGGACTACGAACCGTGCATTTGTCTAGAGATTCCTAATATGTATACGACATTTCCGTTTCATTAAATAATGTATTGTTTTACAATCTGGATGGATGGCGAGTATCGAATGATCGATTATTACAATAAGTAAATTGACAAAGGACAATCATAGATATCATAAAATGGAGGCAATTACAACGCAGCGGTCATACTTTGAGGCATGATAGTCCTATAAAAGTAGTTCTCAAAAGCGTTATACCAGATAAAAAGTGAAGGGGACGACCTAAAACAAACTTCATATTACAGACACGTAGTTAAAATAATTTAGAAATTAATAGAAATATAGAAAGCATTGAAGAATGGAGAAAACTTGTAGAAAGGCAATACCAGGCGGTAGCAGACTGTAATGACCTAAAGAAAAATGAAGATTTTAATCAATTGTTTTAACCAAGCAGATAGTGGCTCGCAGGTAAATTAAATATAGAATCCTATATTTAATAGTTACTTGTTAAAACAATAAGAATACTAAAAAAACAATTTTTAATTTTTTATGTTTTGCTATTTTTAATGTTCTTAGGGCATATTTTATAACTCGTATGTTATTACTCTATTGGAATAAAATCCGAGCTTAGCCTATAATAAAAGGAAGTATGTTTTTTTGGGCATACAACTCTACGACCTCCCAAAGTACGATTTTTATACGATGTGCTCACAAACGAAAATTGAATTTGTTTTCTATCGATTTCTGTATGTTTTCCTTGGGATAAAAATAATTATTTTTTTTTAATTAATACATTTTTTTTTTATTTTTTTATAAAAAGATTTAATATACGTACAACCCTTTTACAATTAGACGCTGAATCTGAGATTCTCCGTTTCCTCTATCGCTACGTTCAAATCCATCTGTCGGCATTGTGTCTAAACATTTGGACCCTATACACGCATCTCCGACATTGTCTGTTCATCTCGATTTTCCATTCCCGACTACTCATCGCCCGTGGCTCTCTTCAGTAAACCGTCCGCTTACCATATACACGGCTCAGCCCATTCCATATTTACATTCCCTCGTTAAAAGCCCGCGTTTTCCGTTTTCATACAGCTAAGTAATTATTAATCTGTGAGTTCGTACAATCGCTTTATTGTTACAGTATTTATTCGGTTATTACGGGGCTCGGGCATTTACATAGAATAATACAAATCAGTTTTTCGGGGTAAAAAAAAAAAATAAACTCCCATTTGGATTTGTACAAAAAGTTCTCGTACCTCGGTAACCGCGTAAGATAACGTTGTTTATATTTTTCTAAAATAAACAACCGGTGCGGTTTAACCGTGAAGATAAAAGTTTTTGCGGCGGCGGCGGGCATACATTATATTATTATTATAGTGCATAACGTACCCCGTATACGTGGCGATTTCAAACATTTTGATATTAGCCACATTGTTTTACACAGCCATAATCTATGGATTTATAACGCATAATAACAGTTGTCGTTATACTATACAATATTATTATTGTCACTATAAAAGTCCAGTAGGGATCTAATAAAAACGTCGAACGTTTTCCTTTATTTTATCTTTTTTCTATATTTATGCGGTTTAATAGTTTAGTATCATTTCACCGTCGACACGATGTCTGACGACCTTGCCAACCAGCCGAATATTGCCACCGATCTACGCGTGCGCATTAACAATCGTCTAGCCGGCTAAATACTTTGGAGGAGGAGGAGGAGGGGGGAGAAAACCCATAATACAATAATCGCTCCTCTTCCCGTTCCTTCGTAGACGATTATACGCAATACGCTAATTCTCCGTCGCAAAACGAAATTCGCAATTTTGTCTATTATATAGTGTTTTTTAGTTTTAAACTCGCACGAACTCGTGCCGCGTGCATTCCGAGCGTAATAACAGGTATTATAGTATTATATAATATTGAATATTATGTTCGGCAAAAAAATTATTCAAATATTTCGCGAGAACTAAAAGTCATAAAAAACTAACTGCAATAACGCAATAGCATAATGTAAATTTGTACTATTCCGCAAATGTGTTATTATATAATCAGACATCTACCATCATTATAATGGTCTCTTCCTTTACGCCCCCTCCTCTAAAAAGGCCACACCCAACGAGACGTATACCGGACGATTGTAAACTTTGATATATTCGTATTTTTACTAATGTTTTCAAAGCAAATTAGATTTCGAGTTGTATATGGTAAAAAAAATCGTACAATTGGGAAATCCTTTATTTTTTTTTTTAAATTTTGATTAAACAGTTAATCATAATGACGAATTAATTACAATACTATCTATTTTAAATAAACGTCTAATAAATGTCTAAATTTCTTTTTATAGTTAAAATATTTATACAATTTAAAATAAAATTATAAACAACTTTTATATCAATACATAATAATAAGTATAACATTTTGAAAAACGTTAAAATAGAGAAAAGTTTTTTTAAAAATACAATTTAGCAGTAAACGGACATTTTCCGAAATTTACATTCTGCGTGGGTAGCTGGTAATGTGTGCGAGTATAACACGCAATAGATGAAAAGTTTTACGAGAAAGTTTAGATAGAAAATATAGCGAAAAACGTACAAAAATTATATTAAAGGTTGGTGTAACTTACTTATATCTATAGTTTTATTTCGAAATTGCTTGTAGACCGTATTATAGATAGATTTACTTTCGGTTTATAAATATAGAAAACACGTATCAAATTATATAGGTGCCTAACCCATTTCCTCCGCTGGAAATCGAACAAACCAGGAAGCAATTATTAGAAAATTTAATTTTAATTATGGTTAATTTTAGGTGTATATACGGAAGTAAAATAAGACGAATCCCTAATTCCGGATTCACAATTTGGCGTTTTACACATTTTTCATCACACGTTAAGTACCTATACGCACCTATGTATACATATATATATATTATATTCCGCAGAGACGTACCCAAGAATTTTCAATAGGAAAGAATATAGGAACTATAAATAATAATCATGAACAAACCGAAGAAACGTACTCAATACACCTAATATACCCAACAATAGGAATTTAAAAGACGAATCCGAAAGGGCCAATTGTTGTTTAACGAATCTAAGTAATTTTTTGAAATTGGCTTGAAAACGAATGTAACATTGTATTTTCGAGCCAATGAGGACAGTTGGAATATAATGCTTCAACTTCTATCACTCCCCAGCGCGCTCCACTGATAGGCCGTACAGTTTAGACTTAGTCAAGTTCGAAAAGGCTCTAGGTACTGAACTTATATAGTATATTACTATATTAAAACAAAAATCTCATATCAATTATATTGGTAATTAGTTTTTATGCGTAATATAAACGCTTAAAAACTTTCCAATCCTTATCTAATTTAAACAGACTGTTTTAATTAGTTTTAATAATCCAGCACAGAAAAATAAAACACCATTTACTCCGTCACTAGAGCTGAATTTTCCCGCATCTATCTTGTATAATACAAAAATATTCTTCGCAAAACAATGAATAACCGAATACTTAAATAATACAACACCTATACTATGAACCAGTTACCCTATTAATAAAACAGAAATAAATTATAGTGAAATCGTTTATAAAAATAGTAACTATTGAGTAACTAAAAATGTCTAACTCAGCATAATTATCACTTCGATCCGCCCACAAAACAATATTGGAAACGGAGTTCAATTGGTTCAAAGAGAGCCGCTAGAAATATTCAAAATTAGCTGGAAATACGAGTAACGGCGTAAGTCCGAAATGTGCTAATGCGCATACTAGCTATATTACTTGGATAAAGCGAACACTTGGTATTTAAAATCATAGTTTCGTACATTAATCGGTTATTTTGCATATTAGCCGTTAATGGACGGATAAAATAATACGTTCACGGCCATTACAAATAGTAATTTACTACTGTCGTAGCAATAATTTAAAAAAATACACGAAACCAGCTATTGTTCTAGCAGTAACATTATCAACGTTACATATAGGTATTACGTTTTCATTAAGTATATTGAATGGAGCTAAGCACGTGGTCTAAAGATGTTTATTGACCAATATGAAGTTATACCTATCTTAAGAGTACACCTACTTATTTAAATTTTTGTACACAATTATAACGTCCGGTGAAATTCAATTTCGTTTGGAGTTGAACGAGTGTATGGATTAATTATTATAATTAGCTATAACACGATGGGTAAAGTTACATTAACCGGATAATGTACCTGTACACTATCCACTTTCTTCGTGGATGAAGTCCGAAAATGGCTAATGTGACAATACGACGCAGTATAGTCTCTGTTTCCGGAAAAATTCGACGAAAACGGTCATATTTAAGATACGATTATTTTTTTATTTTTTCAATATCATTTTTGGGTAAATAAGCTCCGTGCATAGAATATTATATAACATATTACCTATTGTAGTTTTTCGATTACAATAGCAGATCGTCGTTAGACAAATAAAAAAAAATGCATACGTAGTTCGCGTACTACGCGGTAATATGAACGCATTTATTGCGATGATATTGTGTGTATATATATGACTTCCGGTGCCGTCTAACTTTTTTATTCTAGACGACCGAAATAAGCAGAATATAAGTTTTTTTGGAATGATGTATGCTCTACTTATATGTACACAGCTTTTCGTGGAAACATTTTGTGCAACGGTAAACCAGATCAAACAATATCAGAAAGTTGCGTGTATTGGATGCAGAGTTTATTGGTGTGTAGCTCTAAAGCTATACATGTATAGATGGAAAAATGTCAAAAATAAACACATGTGCTTTTGCGGACGAGACATCAAAAAGGTGTAAAACTTATCGAATTTCCCGATTCAATGTCCGTGAAATTGCGAAATACAGATAAAGAGGGGAGGGAATATAATGAAACGAATCACTACTGCAATCACTCTCGTTCTATATTATATAGGTGCACTTAAATTCAAAGTTGTAAACAAAAAAGGAATCGTTTGGCGAATATGCTATAATTGTCGTATATATATAAAATAAATACGGAGTATCCTTCATTCAAGTTTGTTTTGAGCGAGGGAAACACATGTGTAGAAAAAAATTCAATGTTCATTTTTTTCCTTAATTAAGGAAAAAAAAAATAACTTTTTTCAATACATTTTCAACATTTTGTAAAAGATTCGATTTTGAAAATTTAAAAAAAAAGTGGAAAAATTTTTTTTTTTTTTGGTTCGGATAGTTGTTCTAAGAAATATTTTTACTTCTTGTGATTTTACTTCCGGGAATTTCGGGAGAATACCGCACTGCGCGCCATTGTACGAGAAACCGTAAGGGCCTTGTCACACTATGGCAGATTAACAACGCGGGATTACCACGTTAATGTCACATTACAACGGCACGACCGCACGATCTTTGACTTGCGTATTATTGTTGCTTTACAAAATTAACATTAGTGTCCAACGCTGCATCAAAATATGTTGAGCTGGTCAAGAACGGAGAAGTCCAACGGGACACCGGAATTTTCTCGTCGGGTCGTCTACTTTTTTTGACAAAATAACTCGTGGTTGTGATCTGGGTCACAAAGGTTAAATTCCTCCCGTGTCTGGGCCCAGGTATTTTCTCTCCGTCGTATTATTTTGTTTTCATCGCGTCTAATGTCTGTTTTCATCCTGACGACTTTTGTTGTTTATGGGCAACCGTAAAAAATATAGGGTAAATGATGTAAAGTTGTGAATACGCACGCAACATATCTATTGTGGATCACGATGGCTTATGATCACTATATACCTAAATGCAATATGCCTGTGTTATCGATATCACACAATTGTGGTAAAAAAAAAATCGAAAGGAGCTTTTGCATCCATCCGTACAATATGTCTAGAACATTTTGAAACATTTTTTTCTAACATTAAGTCAGTAGTGCTAATTTGTAGGTTCTACCCGTACAGCAGAACCCCACATAGACAATTATGAGTTTGGCAGTTTTTGAGAACCCGAATTACTTTTTACTCTAATTTTTATTTTTATTCTGCTACATAGTAAAATTCCATAGAAAGATGTGATTTTGGCTTTTTTTTTTTTTAAAAATAAAAAAAAAAACAAACATTTTGTATTAGTTTTGTAAAATTCATGGTCACAAAATAGGTCGGATTCGCGCTCGTCTATGTGGGATTTTGCTGCGCATTACAACTTACAAATAAATACTACTCAAATGGCATATAGATAGATTTTGTGTTTATTTCCGCATCATGTCAATATCATTGTTTGATGAACTATTGATGATAATAAGGCCTTGTGTGGTTTAACGAAGCAGGATTCAATATTTCGCCGTACCATTCACGGAGAGGAATGGCTGTACTCAAACGAATCAAATTTACATAATCGAAATCGAAAACCACACGGTGTCACCAATGTACACTGTGACACGCCTCATCGAAAACAACGTGTATTGGATTAAAATTTAATTATTATTTAATTATGTCCCGCGCGGCATCACCGCAGAACCGTGACATGTCGCGATATTGACAACGACCGCGGTATTGTCACCTGTATAATCGTAATAAATTTATAATCCCTGGATTGGCAGTCGAACCGCCATAGTGTGACAGTAGCCCTGAAAGTGGACTGTATGCGTGTAGGATCTATAATGGAAGGGGATTATACAATGCGATCGCAATAAAGCGGACGACGAATAATTATAGCGTACACAAATCAAAAGGTAACAGGTTCGTTAATGCATAACGTGTGCGTGCAACAAAAGGCTTACGGTGAAACAAACATTAATAATAATTATAATACTCGCGAGAAAGTAAATCGATAACACGTTTGTAAACAAACGGCAACAATATGTAAGACTAAGACTAAGAAGACGCAGACCAAGAAGGAATGGACTGGTAACGAACGTCTAATCAATGAAAACGAAATGTTTCCCCGTTGTATCGGTTTGATACAATCGACGCCATCTATGGACAAGCGGAAATGGAAACATTTACAATATTAGAATATTTTTCTACGGTATTGTTTGTCAGACATGTGCATATAAATTAATTTACATATATCAATTTTTTTTAAACATATTTTCAAAGAAATAACTGTTTATTTTATTAACGAAATAAGTAAAATACTTAACTTAAAGGTTTAACATCATTATCATCGTCATCATAATCATTATCATATGATGCGAGCAGAGAAACAAAAAATGTAACAGGAGCATTCAATCAAATTTTATTTTCGTTAATGAATCGTTATTTCAATCTATGTTTCTGTTCCCGACGAGATATACCATATTCAGGTACGAAATAGGACTACTCTTTATTCAAATAGTTCTGTTTACAACTTTTACTCGTTTTTCCACCTCCTTTTTTATAAAATTGAATTGTTCACCAATTGTTTCACATCCGAAATTGTTCATCATATCATATTATATTAGTACTTCTAGTCGGGATATCGAAATATTGTTCAAACTTATTGCTACACAAAAAGATACAAAATAATTATGACGTTTGTTTTCGTCAATATAATACAAGTTATTTATAAGTATATAAATTTAGCACTAGTTTAGTGTGCGATTTAAATTGACCGTGACCTATCAATAACATTAATATGACATACATGATATACTATTAGTCGAGTTCCATCACCCTCCCCTTCCACCCACCAAAAAAGTAAAAAAAAATTAAATGATCTCTCTGAAATTAATATGTGTTAAGACATTAAGAAGCTTTTTACACACGGGGGCGAAAATGGGCGAAATTATTTATATCGGAGTGAAAGAATACTTTACCTTGACCTAACCTTGAAAATAATATTTTGCAGCTATAAAAGGTCGGACGGTTTTGGAAATCAACTTAAATTTTATATCAGTATCATGATATTACGAAAATATTTTATAACTTAGTGACCAGTAATTTAAATTGTGAGTTCCAGGTAAAAATAAAAAAACTAACGTAACTAACGTGTTACTATAATTAATCCATGATAAATTGAACTGTGAAAATAAAAAAGTCCCGAAGCAACAGATAAAAAAGTAAACGTTTAAAAGTAATACTGTTAGTTTTTAATTAAATTATAAAGTAAAAACTTAATTATTAAAATCGTTAATACTCGTAAATAAACAAATAAATATAGTAAATAAACATATAAATAAAACATTTTTACATAAACATTTTTTTTTGTTTTTATATTTATATTTGCTTGTTTTTATTATATGATTCGCGACGGACTTACATTACGACTGCTGTAACTCGATGAATGCTGCACCGCATGCGAAAAATCGGTTTCCAATACAGTATGGACTCCTCTATTCATACATATCGTAATAAGAGTTGTGATAAGAATTTTCAATCTGATAAATGTCATTTACGCTAGCTTTTGATGTCGTTTACCCCCCCCTTATGCGGCGAGTCGTTAGGTTCGCGGCCGCTCATGCGGTCCTGCGAATTTCGTCAAAGGTGTTTTTTACAGTCAATGGGGACGAAGAACTCGTAGTAAAACGGTGTAAGCGAATTACACCGATTGTTCGACTCGACCACTGTAGTCTGTGAAAATCGACTAACCTCAAGTCGGAACCCGACGGCATGAACCGGGTCCCGGTATATTTTAACATTTACACGAGTTGGGCCCCGGCATATTTATTTCATCGTTATTTATAATGAAAACATTAATCCGAACTATAATAGTTGCCCGGGAGACGTCACGTGGTGGTTGGCTGGAAAGTCAAAAATTTGATTGTTTCGTTATGGTACTCTAAGACAACTTGTATAATTATGTAATATCAAAATGATTACTATTATTATTAAAACTTCACTCGTGTACAATTAAGAAACATCAAAATGACTGTTATCGTTAAACATTATTTTCGTATTAAAATACGCAAATCGCATTTAATATAATATTATTACCGCGGATTTAACCCGAGTCCTATTAAATAACACCGCGGGCCCGAATCGAGTTTAATTTAAGCGATAAAATATCCGGGGATCCGACTCGGGTTTTCCCTGAAAATCGACCGATCAAATAAAATGCTCGGAAAGAAATGTTGCTGAACGAGTCGGATTGATGTAACATTCTCGGACGTTCCCGTTTGCATTCCTTTGCTCTACTGAAAATGCTTGTTCTAAAAACAGCGTTCTCCTACTTCGATTTCTTCGAGAATCAGATAATATGATAATAAGTCACATTGACTTCTTTCATCATTGACGTCTTAATAATAATAAACGTCATTGTAAAACCCAACAGATCCCTCGCTTCGCTCATATTTAAAATAAACAAAATTGGTATAACTGTTTAAACTCGTAAGAGGGGGGCGGGGACTTTTAAACCATTCAACCATATTCGATTTTTTAAATTATGTATTTCTGAGCACTTGTATAGACTTTAAATGCAATAAGCCTGAGCTCCGCTTATCGTTATCAGACAACTCCTTATTACTCTACCACGACGGTGCGTCACGTGGCACATAGGCAAAGCACACGCGCACCACATTTAAATTTGAAATTTTCGTATCCTACAATGTGTACACGAATAGAATATACAGTGTAAATTACTATGAATCTGTAATAACTGTAAACTAGCTGTAAAGCGCAAATACTGCGTACAGACAATTATTATGTTTAACCGATAGGATTTAAACAAAAAATCAATGTTCGGATGTTAAATAACAATAACTTATATTTTTGACCGAAAAAAATCTCGATGCGAATTAATGCGAAGAAAAAAAAAGTATTTGATCATTTGGTCGTGGCCGGGAGACTTCCATCTAAACTTCAAAACCACCTCATGGAAATAAGGTCGACTTACAAACTCAACTTGAACTCACATTTAATTACAATTAACGGGCTGTGACTTATAATTTGTTTTTCGAAACGATTCGGCCGTGATGGGGAGGGGGGACCAACTTTATAGACGTCACCCCCGCAGTTCCGAAACAAAACTACCGTTTTTCCGATACGCGGATTTAATTCGAATTTAATCATTGAATTAAAATTCGCATCAAATTACACAATGTAATGAACCTAAAATTGTTTCCAGCGCCGTGATTTTTCGTCTTTCGGTTGAAAAATAAAATGAGGCTATTTTCATTATCCTCTTTAAATACATTTATAATAAAATATGCAGCACTGAATCGTTTCGTGCTCGACAGTCGAACATATCCGAGTAAAAATATTATGAAAGCGGTTTTCTGATATCCCGAGAACCGCGAATCGATACAACATTGCACTTCCTATTATTATGAATTTCAATTAAAATATTTAATTATTATTGAACATTATTGATTCGTATGTCTAGACAAGTTTGATTGAAGGATATCATCCGAATACGATTACACCTAAATAAACATTAATGTTTACCAATAAACGATACTTTCAGAATATAGTTTTATTATAAATCGCTATGGGACGTATAACAGTAGAAACGAAAAACCTATCGGGAATACAATAATAATAATGTTTTTTTGTTTTTTTTTCAATTGTAAATACATTTTTTTTGTACATATATACATAAATAGAAAACCCTTAATACCTACTTGTGTTTTATTTTTCTTCGAAAAAATTATTAATAAAAATTATTGTTCGTTATTTGGCCACGACTATTGTAAATATGTAATTGGGAATTTACTATAGAATATACTGAGGAATTTAGTTTCTATTATACATTTTACGCGACGATAAATCAATTGCA